ACCTTTGGTCGAGTACAATGAAAAGAAGATTTTTGAGGTGAAGCTCAAGGAAATGAAATCTGCTGTGACGACTCAGATAGCAGAAGAAGCTAATATTTCTGAAGTTATAGAAACTGTCAAGCAACACGTCAAAGATGCTAAACTGCCAGATATAGAAGTTGTGAGAATTCTGTGGGATGTCTTGATGGATGCTGTGCAGTGGTCTGGGAAGAATCAACAGCAAAATGCTAATTCGGCCCTTCGCCAGGTAGTTTACATTTTAAAAGCTGCATATTGTGGTAAATGAACATGCATAATGAATTAATGATAGCCTTCCTCAAAATTTGGAAATAACCTATGAATGAACTCATTCTTTACTGGTCGCTTTACCCAGTGTTCCGGGAATAAAAGTATCGTTCTAGTTTTTTTTTAAAATGTCAATTAAGAAGTAAGCATGATGACTGGGTTGGTTGGGAAGTTAATGTTCTCAAAGAAGCATTGCTCAACAAGTATCAGAGTTATAAAGATAGGCAACTGCCAAATTAGCCATGGCTGGCCCTTTAGTCTTCCTTTTAATTTGTGCATGCATTTCTAATTCATTACTCTTGTATTTTCGAGAATTTAGTATTCCATTAGCTTTCCTAAATGAATCCAGCAGATAGGACTTGTGGCAACTTGTCTTGTTTTAATGAAATCCGTCAAATGTGAGTTGACTACCTATTATTGGCAAACATTGACTAATTTAATCAACAGTGGTAGTGTTGCAAGGTTTGATTAATTGTTGAACTAAATTTGAAAGCACACGGAAGTTAGATTAGTCTATAGTTGCATGCTTTTCTGGCTTCTCTAACACTCAACCTCGGAAGGACTGATCAGTTCTGCTGAGTGGGACAAATTCCCTTGCGCTTGTGAAGTCTAGTTACTTCTGTATTTGTATCACATTTCTTCTCGTTCCCACTTTTCCTTTTTTCTTCTCTCTTTTTTTGCAGGTGAAAACATGGGCGCAACTGTTGAATACATTCTGCACAACAGGAAAGCTTGAATTGGAGCTTATATACAAAGTCCAAGTTCAGTGCTATGAGGATGCTAAACTGATGAAGTTGTTCCCAGAAATTATAAGGTCCCTCTATGACCAAGATGTGCTAGCAGAAGACACCATTCTTCATTGGTTCCGCAAGGGAACTAACGCCAAGGGCAGGTATGCATTTGTTACGTTTTTCTTGATTTACTGTTTTTATGGGAATGAAACTGTTATTGAATTAGTTTCCTTTCAAATCTATTTTTTCTTCCTTGAGCAATATTCTATTTTTAATATATTAAAGGATTGTGATGTGATATCATTTTAAATTATGGCAGGCAAGCTCTTGTCAAGGCGCTGGATCCCTTTGTTAAATGGCTGGAGGAGGCAGAGGAAGAGGAATGATTTCTTCTGATGCTGCGTGTCAGTTGAGATGATCTTTCCAGTTTTTCTTTTTATTTTTCTGGAGAACTTATTCCTCCTAAATATTTAAAATAATGGATTCCAAATTTTCACACGAATTTACATCTGTTTCCTTCATGTTGTTAACTAATTTGTTATGACTTTTCTCATTTGGATCTTAATTTCTTTATTCTCACACTGCTTCCATCCCCTTTTCTCTCTTCACTCCTGGAGATCCCACTTATCTAATATTCTATTAATATCCTGGAAAGATCGGATGCCATTTTAATATTTTAAAAACCCTTTCAAAAACCATTTTATTAGTTTGAGTTTTGTTTTTAGAAAATTCTTGCAAGAGCACGGTGGAAAGCGAATATGGATATTTTGCTATGCATGCTTATTTTGCCTTGAGAAAATGTTGGCAATAATTATTGTCTATTTATTGAATTGTCTGGATTTGTCATTGGTCATCGTTAGGTTATCATGCTTTAGCTGTATAAAAGAGGAGAGTGAAGAAGCTGTTTGAAAAAAAATATTCTACTAATTTTATAGCAAGCATCCAGGCCAGGGGTGGCAAACGGGCGGCTTGGGTTAGATAATGGTACGGATAAAAACCGGTAATACAAAAACGAATAAATTATCCGACCTGATTCATATCCATATTATTATCCATGGTTTCTTAAGTATGATCACTTATAAATGTAAAAGTTAAACCTATTAGTTGTCCATTGGTTATTCATTTTTTAAATGGATAATATGGTTTTTATCCATATTTGATTTATTTTTTAAAAAGTTCATTATCCAACTCATATTTAATAAATAATATAGATGAAAAACTGTTTTCTTTTATTCATTTTGCCACCACTAATCCAGGCACTGAGATTGTGTTTGCATTTTGATAATATGGGATTATGAGATGTACTTTTAATGAGAAGAAATGGGGAACAAGAAGGCGAAACCTTAAGGAAAAAAGATAAGGCATCGAAATTGGACAAACAAAACCCAAAAAAAAGAGAGGAAATTTTATTAATTAAATAAAACTTTTTCAATTAACTCATACAAAATTTGATGATGAGAATAAGAAATTAGGATTTTTACTCAATGATGTTTGATACCTTTTTCTATTTTCTATTCATCTATCAAAAGGATAGTTACATACGAGTTAAGGGCATTGTTATGTAAACATAGCCCTTGACTAACCCTAATGATAGCCTAGAGAGCTGAAGAAAATACATTTGACAAACCTGTGAGGTGTCCAACCTATACAAAAATATTATCACCTATCAAAAGACTATTTGAATGGATTTCATGAATCAGGGAGGCTCATTGGTAATATCTGCTTTCCTTCAGTTAGCAATACCAATAGCAGGGATTGAGACTCAACCTGTCCACATTTATGAAACCTCCAACTAGTCTGCAACCTGATTCATTCGCTGTAGAAGGACTACTCTAACACAAAGAAAATGATAACAAAACTAAAAACAAGAAACAAGGCTAAAAAATATTCTTGTTAATTATGGCCAATATCAAGTATATAAGCAGGGATTCAGATCCAGAGGTTAATGTACTTTGGCATTTTTACGTAGTACAATTTGGTTAGATAATTTGATAAGTCAATGAGCTTTTTTGTGTTTTAGACTACAATTAACCAATATGTTAATTAATTGATTACGATAAATTGAATCGATTTTTGTTATTTTTTTCTTGTAGTATCTCGACGTGGCATGAGTGTGAATATTTTATAGTTCAATCATTACAAATCAATCAAACGATCACGTTAACTGAAATAGTGAGTCAAAAAATTTAACCTAACAAGATTAGTATTTTAGGCTAGCTAGAAATTAAGTTGGAAATGAGTTTGTTAACAAATGAGTACATATGCAGATAAGAAAACAAATTTAAGGTTTTTACATTTTTGATCGGGCAAATAAAGAAAGGAAAATATTTAGCCATGCAATCAAAATTAAATTCATGTTTTGGTAGATTTTTAAGTTAAGTTAGGTGTAATTTTGAATTTTGAAATCTAATTGTAAAATAATATAGGAAGTTATTTACAAGCTTCCCATATTTCATAATTTTTGTGTTCTTTCCAATTTTGGCATGCACCCTTAGAGCAACTATAAAAGACTCCCACTTTATTTCTTTATTTTCATCCCACAATTGCATTATCTACTTCTTCTCTCTACATTTTCTCCATTTTGCATATAATAAATGGAAAAGGTCCAAATATACCCGTGAATTATGCGAAATAGGACAAATATGCCCGTCGTTATTAGTTTGGCCCAAATATGTCCAAACCGTCCAACAGTTGTGCAAATTGCCATTATTAGACGGAAACCATATTTTCTTTTCTTTTTTTAATTTACTGATACCAAACCCGACCTAAAAACAACCCACCCGGCCCAACCCACCCTAATTCTAAAAGACCCAAAACATAACCAGCACTGTATCGCCCCTTTCCAAACAGACAGGTGCACCCACCTTCCCTCTTCTTCTTCTTCCTAAACCGTCCATCTTCTTCCTAAACAGGTCGTCTAGGGTTTCCATCTTTGAGTATGACAAGCTAGGGTTTTCTATCTTCTGACTAAGGTATGACTACTTTATTCTTTCTTTGTGTGTTATATATGAGATTTCGAGTTTTTTCTTGTGTGTTTCATATGTAGGGACAAACTATGCTTTGTTAGACTTAATTAAAGAGAGATATTGTTTCTAATATCTTTTTGTATTTTAATACACTAAGGAACAAAATACAGTCAGTTAATTTGGGCGGATTGATGGTTTTGTCGGGTGGTTGGGGCTTTTTGTATTTTAATACATTAATTTGAAAATCTTTGACAATATTTGCTATTTGTTTTTTGGTTTGCGTTTTGAATATGACTACTTTATATATACTGATGTGGTCCCTTCTTTGTCCCTTTTTCTATATCTTTATATGTGAAGTCCATTGAAGATGATTGATAAAGTGGATTTGGTGTTTCACTATGGGAGTAACCGGGCCTTTTCCCCCGAGATAGTATATAACAAGATGTCGGTGCACACTTTGTCTGGTTATGTCTCTTATCTTGTTAAATATGATTTTATTTGTGAAGAGTTTACAAAAACGTTAGGGTTTAGCTCTGTCGAATAGCTTTTAATGACTGGACCCTCAGGGAGGTACTACTTGATAACTGATGACGAAGGTGTGAAGACTCTTCAGGGCTTGTTTTCTAAAGACTTCAAGGTGATTAATTTCTTTGCTGTTGATGAGTCTGACTTAAAGGTATTTGCTCAAAATATTACTCATCATACAGAGACATATTCTATAGACATTGATGTAGCTTCTGAATGTGAACATAGTCTTGGGGGAAGTGACTTTGATGAATCTGATTGTTTTGAAGATGATTCTATAGAACTTGATGGTATTGTCAAAGAAAAGAAGATGGTTGTAACTGATAATTTGGAACGTTTTAAAGAGTTAGAGGTAGGTATGACATTTAAGGATATTGTAGAAGCTAGAAGGGCAGTAAACTTCTGTGCAATGGTAAATAAAAAAGGGTTGAAGTTGAGTTGGAGAGTGGTTTTGATTTAAATGTGTTCAAAAGTAAGCTCAAAAGGGCCAAGGGTTTGGCTCTTAAGAAGTTGGAGGACAATTTTGTTGATGACTATAACAAACTCGAGGCATATGGACAAGAAGTAAGACAATCTAATTCAGACGGTGATGTTGTGATCAATTTATTAAAGAATGCTCTTGAAGAAGGGAAAAGATAATGTACATATGCTTCAATAAGTTGAAAAATAGGTGAAAAAGTGGCTTGAGACCACTGATTGGGATGGATGGTACCTTTCTTAAAGGTAGATTTAAGGGTCAGTTGTTAGTGGCTATTGGTCAAGATTGTATGAACCAATTTTATCCTCTTACATGGGTCGTGGTAGACAAGGAAACTTCCAGGACTTGGGGTTGGTTTTTAGAGTGTTTGAAGCTTTATCTTGAGCTAAATGATGGACAAGGAGCGACTTTCATCTCAGATATGCAAAAGGTAAACACTACAACTTTCATCTCTGATTTCTATTATTCTCTGGTATACACTTATATATTTTACTATTTATGACTATTTGTTCCTATTTTATCATAGGGGTTAATTGATGCTGTGTAGAATATACTTCCTGAAGCTCATCATAGGTATTATGTAAGACATATTGAGGCAAATTGCCAGAAGAAGTGGAGAAGTGGACATATGAAGAAGTTGTTGTGGTGGTGTGCTTGGAGCACTTATGAAGAAGATTTCAAAGATCAACTAAAAAAGATGGGAGAGCTATGTGAGGATGAAGATGCTTCTTTTGCCAAAGATCTCCTGCATTATCCTCCACAGTCTTGGTGTAGAGCATATTTTGACACTCAATGTAAAAACATGATGGTCGACAATAATTTCACCGAGTCGTTTAATGCATGGATTCTTGAAGCTAGATATATGCCAATTATCAAGATGCTCGAGGAGATTATAATAAAGGTTATGAATCTGTTGGCTATCAATGAAGATAAAATCAGGTAATGGCTAATTATAGTGAATGTTCTGCTTTTATTTTACACTCCTTGTATTTTACCTCCTTGTATCTATTTTGTCAGAAAATGGAATGGTGACTATAATCCAAGTGCTTTGATGCTTTACAATGACTATAGGGCAATTGCTCATTATTGCAAGGTTGAATTTAATGGTGACTTTGGATATGAAATCACACAAGGTGATGATAGACATACTTTGGATCTTGAACATAAAAAATGCACTTGTAGATTATGGCAACTTTCTGGGATCCGTTGCCCCCATGCTATCAAAGCTATAATATATGATAGGGTATGAAATATTTTAAGTTAGTTTTCTCACTTAAGCTCATATTTTCAAAGTTATCTAATTAGTGTTATTTCTTGATTTTGAAAGGGTGATCCTAAGGAGCAAATACACTGGTACTATAGCAAAGAAGCATAATCCTTGACTTACAAGCACAAGTTTCAACCAGTTAGGGGTATAAAATTCTGGAAAATTGATCCTAGCCAAGCAATGGATCCACCTGAAATTGCCAAGACTGTGGACAGACCCAAGGTAAAGAAAAATAGGGAACCTGATAAAGCAAGCAAGAGGAAGGGGGAGTGGAGTTATTCAAGGAAAGGAACAGTGATGACATGCAATAAATGTGGTGGAGAGAACCACAATTCTAGGACTTGTTTCAAGGTAAAACAAACTTATAATGGAAATTTAAAGTATGACAACTAATTCTTATTAACTAATTCTTTGGATGGCAGAGCAAAGATGGTGAAGAGGGTGCAACAACGACTCTTAGTACTGAAGATGATTGGTTGGGATTTGAATTTGAAACTGAAGCACAAACATAACAATCTGATTACTCTTCTCAAGTCACAACACAACAATCACAAGCCTATGATCCAAATATTGGCGATGAGGAAGATCCACCGTTGAGGCCACAAATCTTCTCTGAGTCACAATCAATACTTAAGGAAAGAAGGCTGAAAGCAAGACTACCAACTAGGAGTAGAAGGATTCAATTTATTTGGGGTGAAAATGGAGTCTCTATGCCGACAAACTTGCCTTACTCACCAACTAAGGCAACCTGGAAGAGGAAAGCTGCAGTTACACTTAGCCAGCTCCAAGCTGAAGTAAGAAAAAAGAAAAAGAAGATGAAGCCAAATGGGGAAGGAGTCCTTGTACCAAATGCTGAAATTTAGCAAAAGTTGGCTAGTTATTTTTGTAAAAAACTTAAGTAACTTAGTTTATGGATGACTATTATGCACAAAACTATTGATTTTTTGGTGAATGTTATCTTGGTTTAATTGGTTATTCAGCAGTGTTGCTGTTGATGTTAGCATAATACTATATGTTAACTGGTTATTTTTGTGAATGTTTACATCAGTGGTTATTGATTATCTCTGTTTTGTAGTTGTTTTTTCCCCCAGTTATTTTTTTGAATGCCACCTTTTCAGGCACTAGAGCTTCTTTCTTTTGTTCAATTTTGGGTGGTCAGTGTTTGTGGATCTCACGTGTGTTCGCATAATACTAGATGTTGGGGAATGCAACAATACATGTTTTGTAGTAGAATTGAATCGTCTAAAACTACTATAACAAGTGCCCTTGCAGCTTGTGCTCAATTAGGTTCATTAAAAGTAGGAACTTCTATACATGGCTACATGTTGATGCAAAGAATTGCCATAGAGACTCCTGCCCAAAATTCACTTGTCACCATGTATTCAAAGTGTGGCTATTTGAAGCAAGCACTTGTTGTTTTCGATATGATAAAAAGCAGAGATGTGGTTTCCTGGAATGCAATTGTTGCCGGGAATGCTCAGAATGGGCATTTAGCAATGGCCTTGCATCTGTTTAATGAAATGAGGATAGACCATCAAAGACCTGATTCAATTACATTTAGGCACGACTTTAGTTGATATGTACTGCAAATGTGGTGACCTGGACAATGCGAGTTTCCAGAACAACCACAAGTTAAACCTCATCACAACACCGGAATTGAACTATGCTGCTTGAATTTCCAGAAAGTTGAGAAATTACACAACACCAGATACATGAACTGAACGATGCGAAATAGTTGAGAAATTACACAACACATGAAGTGAACACAAATGCTACTGAGAAATTACAATACAATGCATATTACAACCATTTTCATCCAACCATTACAATACAATGCATCTAAATTATACAACTAAAATAACTATAAGCAATTACAACCATAAACAATTACAATCATATTTTCAAGTCTTCCCTCAAAACATAAAACTAACCACAAATCCAATAATGAAACCCAAAAATATAAGAAACAATTTTTCCACCCTGTTTCTAAGTCTTTCTTTAAGAAGAGCATCCTTTTTCCTTTTCAATTTGTTGATGACAATAATAGCTCTTGATGACAATAATAGCTCTTGTTGATGACACCTGAAAAAGCGTCTTACGGAATTCATTTCAGTCCGCGATGTGAGATGGAGTGCAGCAACTCCACATCCACACACCCTTCGATGACTATTTGAAAACTCGAATATTCCGACATTTAAATCCGCCCGTTGTTCCTGAAAAATTAAAGGAGTGATGGCCTGTTGTTCCTGAAGGAAGAAGATGAATGGCCTGTTGTTAAAGATGGAAGAAGATGGACGGCCGAAGAAGAAGATTTAAGGAAGAAGATGACTGACGGAAGAGGGAAAGGGGTGGGGAAGTTTGTTCAGGGCTGGGCGATACAGTATAGCTGAAGCATATGTTTTGGTTCTTTTAGAATTAGGGTAGGTCGGTTGTTTTTAGGTCGGGTTTGGTATCAGTAAATTAAAAAAAGAAAAGAAAATATGGTTTCCGTCTAATAATGACAAATTTGCACAACTATTGGATGGTTTGGACATATTTGGGCCAAACTAATAACGACAGGCATATTTGTCCTATTTCGCATAGTTCACATGCATATTTGGAGCTTTTCTGTATAATATATGGTCCAAAACTATGAGACCTACAAAATTTTCCAAAAAATTGCCCGATCCTATGACCTTCATCAAAATCCAAAATTTTCAACCCCAACAATGCCTAAGGATTAGATATGAGATTACCGAAGAAAATATTGAATGGAATTGCTTTCTTCGACAGTTAGTGGCACAATAAGTGGCATGTCCCCTCCAGGATTAGGCATAGGGGTTAACTTTAATTGTAGTCATTTTAAGCATATCACAGCCTCTTTAGCCAATTGATTCACTACTATATTAGGTGCCTTCACAATCTTGTTAGTCAAAATTAAAAAATGTGCATGATTTTCTAATCATAACCTTATATGGCTAGAAAAGCATACACATTTTACAAATTTAACTGACAAAATTGTGTAGGTACCTAATGTTGTGGTAAACGAGTTGGTTAAAGAAGTGGATACTTGCTTGAAACGGCTCCAATCAAAGATACCCCTACTCCAAATCCTATCGAGGGGCATGCCATTTAATGCGCCTCTAACTGATGATTCCACACTAACTTTCTATATGTTCGTATCTCTGCACTTTCTTAGTTTGTGTAAATACATTTTTAAAGAGAAAAAAAAGTTTACCTACATAGAAGATACGGAAAATGGCCATACATGTCCGTCTACTAGCTAAAATAAGTCATATGTGTCCCCCATTATACTATTCAATTAAAAAAAGTCCCCACCATTTGTGCCCAAAAATTAAAATGTCCCTCCGCTATCTACTTCTATGTTTAAACTAAAAATATCCACGTGTCAGTCTTTTATTGGATGAACTAAACCCACCCCTTAGTTTTTAATTGACCCACCGACCCGACTTATTTTATCCGACCCACCCGATCTTTTAATTAAAAAGATCCCAAACACATCGGTCTCTCATTCCCTTCATTCAACCAATGAGACCAAATTAGGGTTCTTCAAGAAAGAGTCCAAGAGGAAAAGGACTACTCCAATTTCTTTCATTATCAGTTATTTGATCTTATTAGGCTGTAAATATTGTCCAAAAATTTGGCATGTCAGAAAATAGTTCTTCATCCAAGAGGAAGTGCCAATGTGGGGAATTTGCTAACCACTTCACTTCAACTACTCTTTTTAACCCTGAACGGAGATTCTAGAAGTGTCCAAAACCAGAAGTAAATGATTATTATTAAATCTTGTGGTGTTTAAATTTTTTTATAATTTAACTAATTGTTTCCCTTTGATTTGTATTTTGGTGTTACATGATGCTTCATGTGGTTATTCGGAATGGTCAGATGATCCTATTCCCGATAGAGTGCTCGTTGTAATCAACAGTTTAAGGTCTCATTTGGATGCGGCAAATGTTAAAATCAGTACTTTGAAGTCGTCGTTGTACAATGTTAAAATTGAAAGGGATAAATTGAAGGAGAAAATGGCCGTGAAGGCAAGAAACCATATTCAAGTGACTAAATTGGAAGAGAAAATCCTCAAGATGAAGATTTTCATTATCATTTTATGTAACCTTTTTGTTGGAATTTTAGCTGCTAGAGTAATGAATTGAAGCTGATTATGATAACTGATGTATTTGGTAGGGAATGTTACTTTTTTTTTTGATGTTTTGTAATTCCAAAAATTATGCAGGCTCATATATCATATGAGTTCTCTCTTGTTTAGACTACTTCAAATCTTGTAACCTTGATGTTTTAAGTTGAAGTTTAAGTTCTAATGTTAATTGCTCTTGTTGGTTCTACTATAGATTTAAGTTGAAGTTTAAGTTCTAATGTTAATTGCTCTTGTTGGTTCTACTATAGATTTAAGTTGAAGTTTAAATTGCTACATGTTTAAGTTGAAGTTTTAAGCTGCTCTTGATATTTTAAGTTGAAGTTTTAGTTGATCCATATCAGTTGGTTGTTCATATAGTAAGTCTCAAACTGCAAATTCAACAAACTGCAGATTCAATAATTGCTCAAACTGCAGATACTGTAGATTCAACAAACTCTGCACATAGTTCACATGAAATAAACTCCGCAAATTCAACATACTGCACATACTGCATATTCAACATTAGTTGCAAAATAAGCAGATTCAATATAATGAATATACTGCAAATTAACTGCAAAACTACAGATTCAAAACCGAAATAATAAATTTAGCTAGTAACTGCATATTTCATTACACAAAATAAATTTAGATTTGTAGAGACACAGATGCCATATTATACCCCCCCAAACTGGCACAAACAAGGGGATAATATGACATCCAACCCTAACTTTTAGAAAAAAGTGTTAACAATTAATATAATAGGAAATGTACTGTCACATGACAGTAATTACAACCCAACAAACTATACAAAGACGACCTATTTAGTTCTATTACAATAGACTTCAGTTGCTTCCCCTTCTTGGCTTCAACTTATTCACTTTCTTTTTTGCTTTGCATCTCCAGCTGACTTTCAGTTACAATACTTTTGTCCCTTCCATTTGAGGCCTGATGATTTGAAAGGAAGTGATGATGAAGACTAACACCATCTGTATCACCAGTGAAGGAAATTACCCTTACACTTGAAGTTTGAGGTGGTTTTTGACTTTGCAGAAGTCTTGTTTTAGATTTTGACACAATTGTTGGCCTTATAACTATATCTAGATCAAGTTTAGAGAGGTCAAAGTCAGTGAATGGACTTCTTAGATTGATTGTGCACAGATGGTGTAAGCATGAATACAAATTTGAGTCTTGAACACTCGACTAACTTGTTTGCCAAGATTGGGGTGATGTTAGGTGTATTTCTTCTTCTGATTGTTGCCTCACACTATCATCTTCATCAACCAGATGTCTTGCATTTTTCCTTTCCCTTTTTGCCATGGGCGACTATTGTTAACAAGTAAAAACAATTAGATGAAGTAAATTTTAGTATTGTTAACAAGTAAAATAAGTTAGATAAAGTAAATGTTACCTTCTCAGAACCCCTTGCATTATGATTTGCCTTTTCATAGTTGGTGCAAGTCATTACTCTCCCTTTTCTTGAAGCTGCCCATTCACCTTGCCTTTTGATTGCCTCATCTTTTTGTTTGGTTCTCTTGATTTTAGGCCTCCCAGCCATCTTGACTAACTCAGCTGGTTCCATTGCTTGTGATGGATCTACCTTCTAGAATTTTTTACCCCTTATGGCTGCAACTTGTACTTGTAGGCAATCAGATATGCTTCTTTGTTGTACCACCATTGATTTCATTCATAGGCTACAACTTTTTGTATTGCAGGGATTTAATTGCATGTGGGCATGAGATTCCAGTAAGATCCCATCCCCTACATGTGCATTTATTTTACCACCATATTTACAATGTGCTTATCTATCCCTTTCCTGATTTCATAACCATTGTCACCATTGCACTCCACATAACAAGAAGAGTTAGCTATCTTCAAGTACTCATTGTATAGCTTCAAACTATGTGGACTGA